GTAGTACGAAGCCAAGAACCCAAGCACCGAAGCACATATGAGCAGTCAACTGACAACAACAACATGAGGCTCATAGAAAAATCCAAGTAATAAGAGCAACTCCAATGCGCCGACCTAAACAGACGGCGATTTTGTCCGCTTTTTGTCCGTTTGGATCGGCCGCCCACTCGGTGTTCGCCCTGTTTATCATTTGGGTCGGCAGTGCGCCCAATGCATCGACCAAGGTTTCGATTTTCGGTTTTTGAAATTTCTCGCCCCAGACCGAGATGGCCGAAATTAGACCAAATTTTGGCTGAAATTTGACCAAAATCTATTTTTTTGTTAAAAATATTTTCCACACCAGGCCGAGATGGCCGGAATCCATGTTTTTTTGGCTGAAATTCGGTCATATTTGCCGGCGTGGCCGGCTGGCCGCCCTTTTTCAACAAATATGCGCATATTTTGCATTATTTCACAAGCAAATATATAGTTTCACGACCAAATAAATTAAGCGTAGTTTTACAAACCGAATAAAAACAAAATAGTCTCATATAGTTTTCAAGCCGAATAAAAAAGATACATTTATTGGCTGCCAACATGAGCCCACATATGCTCAACCAAATCATTTTGCAGCTGCATGTGAGTTTTCTAATCATGCATGTCATGATGAAATTGGATGAACTGTTCAAACGTTGCTGCTCCTCCATGCTTAGGCACAACATTCTCACCTTAAAACTGAAACCCTTGATGGTAGATACGTTCCGGGCGCTTATCTTCTACGAACATATTATGCATGATCACTGCTACTTCTTGAGCTTGCGTTGGTTTTGTCCTTGAAGAGAAATGGGTGATGCAGCAAAGTAGAGATAAGTATTTCCTCAGTTTGAGAACCAATGTATCAATCCAGTAGGAGGAACAAGCAAGCCCACAATAGATGCACCTGCACAAACTAACAAACACTTGCACCCAACGGTCACTTGCAAGAGTGAGATCTAATAGAGATGGATATAAAGGATAAATAAAAGGCATAATAAAATAAAAGTAAATAAATTGCAGCAAGGTATTTTGGGGTTTTTGGTTTTATAGATCTAAAAATATATGATGGAAAATAGACTCGGGGGACATAGAGTTCACTAAAGGCTTCTCTCTTGAAAGGTAACATACGGTGGGTGAACAAATTACTGCTGAGCAATTAATATAAAAGATAGTTATGACGATATCTAAGGCAATGCTCATGAATATAGGCATCGCGTCTATGCCAAGTAGACCGACTCCTGCCTGCATCTACTACTATTACTCCACACATCGACCAACTCCTGAATGCATCTAGAGTATTAAGTTCAAGAGAACAGAGTAACGCATTAAGCAAGATGACATGATGTAGAGGAATAAACTCAAGCAATATGATATAAACCCCATCTTTTTATCCTTAATGGCAACAATACAATATGTGCCTCCCTACCCCTGCTGTCACTGGGTGAGGACATCGCAGGATCGAACCCATCACAAAGCACCTCTCCCATTGAAAGATAGATCAATCAAGTTGGCCAAACCAAATCAATAGATCGGAGAGAAATACAATCCATGTCTTGTAGAAACATCTATGCCATGCCATGCTATATGATGATTTGCTATGATATGCCATGTTATGATATTACCATGGTAAAATAGGTTGTGATGTGTCAATGCTTAGTTTGATTCATGTCCTTGTTAATATCATGCCATGCTTAGTTATTGTTATGAGGTAAATTCTTGCATCCGCTTGGTACTTGCTTTGTCATCTGCTTGTTTTGATTCTATGTATTTGGTTGTCTTGCGAGTACATTCAAAGTACTCAACTGGCCTTGCACGTGCACAGATTGCAGGAGGAGACTTGTCACGCTAGGTCGTAACCTTGCCAGTCCTGTGAGTTGGGGAGCCCAGCCAGAGTCATCGAGCTGCCAAACCAAGAGTTCTTCCGCCATTTAGATAGCCTTAGAGCTATGCCACACATTGTATTCATCAATGATGTAATGCTCCATGTCATCTAATTGATGAATATTTTGTACCTGGATTGCTGTATCATGTACATGTCGTGTGTCAGGTGTTATCCTAGGCTGGCGTGCACTAGTAGAAAAGGGGGCAAAGGTCCAGGCCGGGTCAGCCCATTAGTCCCGGTTCAGTCCAGAACCGGGACCCATGGGGGCATTGGACCCGGCTCGTGAGCCCGGGGGCCGGCAGGGCCACGTGGGCCATTGGTCCTGGTTCGTCTGGCCCTTTTGGTCCCGGTTGGTGGGACGAACCGGGACCAATGGGCCTCGCTCCTGGCCCACCACCATTG